ACTGAGCTCATAAATCAACTGAGATATAGGGCCATTTTCCCATAGGACTCAGTTCTATCTGACTTTTTTGCAGCCCATTGAGCTGCCCCCTGCTGGCCATTAGAAAGCATGCAGGTTTAAGACATGTTGTTAATGTTTATACATTATGTAAAGATGTATTCACAATCTGGTTTTAATCCATGGCTTTATTTAAAAGTTTTTTGGTTAAAATCACATTCAAAGCTCAGTTGAGTCATGAGCGACACAGTACCTCCCTCCCCACCTCCTCCCCCCCTTCCCTTTCTGATTCCACTGCATACAGTAAAAAAAAAAAAGTGAAATGAAAGTGTTTGTTTACCTGAGAGCGCTTCCGCTGATCTGATGCTGGCGTCCAGTGGGAACGGCGAGGCCTGGCTGTCAGGAGGACCGTACGAGTAAATTGAGGCTCTGAGCTGGTATCCTGCACACACGGGAGCAAACAGGAGCTCAACACAAGCACAGAAAATCATTTATGTGTGCAAACTACCAAAGATGCTATTGCTTGTACATGAATATTGAGTGCCGTACCATTCTCCATGGACGGGCCCTGCCATTGCAGGCTGCGGGGGGGACAGGGACACTGACTGAAGGGCAACTCAGACAGGGCAGTCGGCTCCTGGCAGAAATCTCTCCAGCCACATTCTGGTGTGGGCATGTACGAAGACATCTGCAGACAGAGACACAATCAATCAGCTCAACATGCAAAGTCAACAACCTGAAGGTTCAGATATGGTGATGCAACTTTTTCTGTGATTAACGTTTTATTTGAAAATCCTTTTTTAGGAGCGTCAATGGAGCTCCACTGTAGGATTGTCAGATTTATTATATTGTTAGTAATTAGTAAAGCATATTTTTAGACTCACTATGTTAAAATGTGACTATTTTTAGCTCAAATAAAATATAAACAGTAATAAAAAAAATAAAAACTATTATTTGTCCACCAGAATTATAGTCCTGACAGTGTTTGTGGCTCTCAACAACAACTTTTAAGCTAAAATAAGCTAAAATAAAAAAATCAAACAGTAAAATTAAAGTAATATTTTTGGCGACTAATAACTAACAGAAATAACTTGCGTCTAATAAATTACAAAGCACTTGTTATTTACCTGGTTATTATATGATTTGCAACACCTAAAATGTCACATCACTTTAACTTGAACAACACAAACACTCTCCTGGTCCTGTGCACCTGAAGGCAGCATCACTCAGACTTTGGTTGCATGCAGCTCATAAACCTGAAGGGTGCACTTGGCTTCTGCTGTGTCAGAGGTCAGTCATGCATGGTACAGTGTGCTTGCTCATTTCTGTTTCACATTCAACCTCCCCGGCAAACTCTCGGTCTCTCTTAAGCCCCCCCAACTCATTTTCATGTGCATGAAAATCACCTGAGTCTGCAGGGCAGGATAGGAGGGGTGCACCTGATAGCTCATTGGACTCAGGGGACTGTCCTCCTGCCGGGGTCCTAAAATGCAAGACAAAGAACAGAAATATGAATAAACGAACTCTAAACACAGAAAAAATCCAAATCTCACAGCATGACCTTCACTGGTGGTGAATGAGGAGTCATCGACCTTTATCAATCAACCTGATGTGTGTTCAAAGAATTTCCAACAGCTAAACTCAAACACCCACTTTGGTTTACTCCAAAGACTCTAATCTGTGTGCTGCCTTGTCTTTTAACTCGTGCTGTGCTCATACATGAGGTGTGTGGGGTGGGACTGACTTTTCTTGGCGCCCTCGGGGATGATGCGGTAGACTTTGTACGGGTCTGAGATGTCCAACTGGCTTCTCTCCACAAGTTCCTCAAAGTCATTGCTCTTGTTGAGGGCGCAGCGGAGGCGAGTCTTCCAGGTCGGCGGGTCCGGCTTGTCGATCCCCTCCCGATACTTGCCTTTGAACAGCGCCCAGGCCTGCACACAGGTCACCGGTAAAAACGTTATTAATATAAAACCCAAAGATAAAGCTCAGCGATGGGAGGATGAGCTCTCCAAACTCCAGCATTGCACAGTCTGCAGAAGTGAGACTTTCGAGGTAGTAGGCGTTCTCTCGAGACAGGGAGAGTTTATTATATCATTTATTATTTATTATATGAGTTATAGAGCTAAAACTATTAGTCTATTAAGGAAACAAAAAAAAATCCAAGCGCTTCAAATGTGAAAATGTCTCATATCATATTAAACTTACAATATATATCACATTAAACAAATCGGATTTTTAAAGAAGTCCTCTTTGGCTCTGGAAACTTGTGTCGGACATTTCTTTAACTATTTAGACCAAATATTAAGTTTTAAGTAATCGGCAGACTAATCAATAAAGAGTCGTTGCAGTCTTATATTGCACACAAATCAATGCAAAGTGCCTAACACAATACATTAGAGATTAAAAGAAGACATCCAAACTCGAACTGATCATTTATTTATTAAATAGGCTACTTTGTGAAACGCATCATATTGATGAAAAATAAATATAAACCGTAATATTTCTCGTATTTGTTCCCTTTCTATCACTTTGAATCCTCTTTAAAGGCGTCTGAAACGATGTGTGTCTCAGCTTATTTGCTCACTTTTATTCTGAAAGTTGCACGTTTCTCTCCGGCTGGACCGGCACCGGAGGCACCGGAGGCACCGGAGGATGCGGGGGTTTTACCTTGAAAAGCGCGGCATCCTCATCCCGGTTGTAGTCCTGTTTCCCGGCGTGTTTCCACGGTATCCTGAAGATGGTCTTCTCGTCGTTCTCCCACACCAGACCGGGGTATTTACCGCAGTCCACCTGCTCGATGAGCCACTGGCGCAGCTTTCCGTTCCCGCTGCTCCCGGAGCCTCCGTAATCCAACTCTGCGTTCATCTCTGCCCAAACAGACGCATGCAACAACTCCACTGTAATGCAGTGCAATGTGCCGATAGGTGTTCTGAAAGTAGTGGAAGAGTAGCAGAGAAGGGTGAGTCGATCAGTAAAACTCAATAAAAGGTTTTGCCTCCCCCCCTTTGGTTGGTCTCCCACGCAGACTAACTTAATATGTGCGCCCTGGAAGAGTACCGAGCCGGTCTTACCTGTGAAACTCGAAACCCGTCAACTTTTGAAATCAATCAGTCTCCGAAAGCTCACATCCTTACGGCGGGCCCGCTTAAATCCTCCAGCCTATAGCGAACCGCGGGAGGGCGGAGACAGCCGGGGGATGCTGAGGAGGACGCACCTGCTGCTGCTGCGCGCCGCCTGCCTCTCTCTCTCTCTCCTGTGAAGCTTATCAGAGCGCGCACAGCGGCCGATCTCCAGTAAGACACCGGGGGAAACCCTGCCGGCGTCAGTCACAAGTGTCACACACCCGCACGCGTGGAAAATGTTGGGACGGAGACAAAAACAATTCTTTGAAATGATAAAGCTTTACGAAAAATAAACTATAGAGTGGTCCAGCAGTGGCAGCGCTGCGCAAAAAACATACACACATCAGCGCAAGTTTGTTCCCAGTGGAAGATTTGAACAGCTGTAGCGACAGGAACAGCCTACCAGATAAGATTATTATAAACTGTGTGTCATATTTGTATAGAATGCCCCTTACAGAGAGACTAACGCAGTAAACAGGCCGGAGACTGAGCACAGTGTCTACAGAGGAGCCTTACAAATATGAGTTTATTAAAAGTTCAATATACAAAACTCACTTTAACGCTCTAAATCAGTCATTTACGACCTTTGTGGCAGCGATGGAAGATCCGTATCCTGTCCTGCATTCAACACCTTGAATTAAGGTACAGATTGTACTCAAAGTATTGTATCTGCAGTACTGGCTGCTGTCAGTGTTGGAATAAAGTGCATTAACCTGTAAATCGGAGCATCACATTATTATGAAGAATTTTAGTATAAAATCTTAATCTGTAAAGTAATTAGTACATTTAGTTGCAGTGGAATACAAAGCACAACATTTCTCTCAGTGTAATGTAAATATTTTTGGACTGATGCATTAAAGCTGTTCTTTAATTGTTTGCTGAGGTGGAGCTCATATTCTGTTGTGCTTTAACAACATCATTATGTCATATTTCATAAACTGAAACATGTTTTTTCTTCTTAAAATCTCCACCTGTAAAGTGTTCCTGTCAGATAAATAGCAGTGAAAATAAAGTGGCATAAAATAGAAATACTGAGTAAAGTACAGATACCTCACAATTGTACTTACTGTAAGGAAAGTACTTGAGTAAATGTACTTAGTTACTATGATTCTTCCACTCCTCTTTGGATTGTGACCCCTTAAAATAGATTACTTCTGATATCTGTCACCAGCTGCTGTGGTGGGATCTACCTATAAGTACAAGTTATTAAAAACCAAAAACTACATGAAATAGTAGGGTTTTGTGCTTAAGAACAATTTTAAGGTACTTTTACTAATAACTTTATTCATGTAGCAGCTTTAATGCACTAACATCAACAACAATCACAAAAAAGTTAATATGAATAAACATCTTCAAAAAAGTTAAGAGATACTTTTTGTATTGTTACTTTTATGTAAGTAAAGGAACTAAACTTCTTCCACTGACCAGTTGTGACCAACTCAACCAAAGTTTTTTCCCCTCTTTTGATTTGTTTGAATATTTTATAAAAGTCTGAAATGTCTTAAATATCCAGTAATTGAAAAGAAAGTCTATGTACATTTACACATTTAGTGTAGCAGCATTATGTATTTTTTACTTTCCAGTCTTTTTCCTGCTCTAGATAGATAAAGAAACATTCACCTGACAAATTAAGTCTCACTTTAATGGGTATTTAATTAAATAAAATGCTAATTCACATGTGTAAAATAAATGTCAGTGTGAATCATGAACTCCACAAGCTGATGACATTAAAACAAAAATAATATAATTCAACAATAATATGTTCAATAAAGGAATAAAACAGTTATAAATGTATAAATACTGCTTCTGGCCCTGTGTTACTGGAAGATACAGCGTTTCTTCAGCTTCCACGGTGTCTACAGAAAGTAATACTCATATTTCAAGTAGAGGACACAGCATAACATAACTGACGGGGAGTGCACACAGCTAAATGTGTGTTCACACTGTGGACTGTATGTACATATTTCGTTGGTGTTGTGCTTGACTGCCCTTGCATGTTGTTTTGACAGTTAGAAGCAAGGACATGACATGATGAGGGGGACTGAGATAATGACATAAAAACCCCCTCTCGTCACATGACTACTTCTGCAAACATGAGATTCAACATATTGTATCGATAAAACGAAAGCAGACCCCTGCTGTGGCTTTTTTATCTGCAGGATTGACGATGAAGGCAGCTGGTCTGGTCTCGGAGGGTTTAATGGTCCAGGCAGAAGCTCACAGTCCTCGGCTGCTTGAGTTCAAGGAAAAAACGAGACTGACGGGAAGACGTTCTCTCAGGTGCCACTGGTGCCCAGTGCAGGAGGGATGCTGGTCGTTATGGTCTTGCTGCTGCTGTTAGACTTCTGAGTTAAAAGGGTTTTCACCTCCTCATCGTCATTAAACGAGTTCTTCTTCCCATATCGATCCTTCCACCAGGCCCTATACTGGTGGGGGAGAGCAGAGTGAGTGTTAAAATGAGTCAGATGAATAAATGACAGCTTTAGACAGGATCAAGGACAGATGGAGGTTGTTTCCAACTGAGTGCTGCAGGGAGGACGTATTTTTCTAGGCAAACCCGGAAGTTGGCATCACCCCTGGTTCCTTGGACGAGAAGCCAATGGGATTTTGGATTATTGCAGAAAGATACTGTGGAGATACTGATATGTGTTGTCTATGCGTTTGTGGCCAATCTATGTGGTACCGGACCAGTCGGTGTTCTTTGAGGAAGTACTGGCAGCTAAGGGGGTGGGCATGTAGAAGTTAGCATCAGTTATTTATTAGAGAGTATTTGTTCATTGAAAGA